AAAGAAAGAAAGAAAGAAAGAAAGAGAGAGAGAGAGAGAGAGAGAGAGAGAGAGAGAGAGAGAGAGAGAGAGGATCTGTTTGCAGAGGCGCTATCGCGTTTCATCAGGCCACCTGAGACTGCTTTTGAAAGCGTGTACTGTGAAATTCATAGCAGTAATTTAGACAAAATCCTCACTGTATATTAATGAAAGGCGGCCCCATGGCTCTGTTCCTATGCTCCCCATTCAGTGTAAACAAAACCACGAGACTCTCTCAGTTTTTGAGCCGGATCCAAGCAAAATCGGCAGCAAAGGAAAACACGGGGTGCTGGCACCGACTACTCCAACGTCTGCACCTGGAGATCTCAGATTTATTCAATGAAATCTGTGTTCCATCTTTCATATATACATCTACGCATACATAAATATAAAAAGGAACCTATGGGGGACGCAGAGGGGAAAAAAATCTGTTCTGTTTGGGGTTTGATTACCGCTGCCTTTTAGATCTATAACTTGGCAATAATGGCCTTGCTAAAACCCACCTACGACGGCACCTTTCTCCCGGCGAGCGGGAGCTGGACCACATCCTACAGAAATCCTACGCGCGTCGCAGCGGATCCGACACCATTAAGGGCAGCGTGGCTGCTGCAGGGAACCGGGTCAGCTCGGGCCCGCTCCCCTAATCGCGGAGAGAGAAGGCCGCCCGCACCTTCTCCAAGCTGGGCGACAGCTCCAGAGCTGCGCCCTGGGCAGGCGGTACCACGGGTGGGGCGCGGGGCGCGCACACAGGCACACTCATTAGGAACCCTGTATTTATTGAATGTCCGAATTGGGTTAGTTCATTGGAAATCCCAGAGGAGGGTTCAATTTGCCCTTGTTTTCGTTGCCACTTTCTCTTTTTTTTTTTCTTGGTTCGCTGAAGCTCCTCAGAGCAGCGTTTCCGCTTGGCCGCGTCCCCCCTCCACTCCACCCCTGCTTCTCCCGCCTACTCCCCCCCCACCCCGTCCCCCTTAACTCTTTCAGCCAAGCTGGGACTGAGAAAGCTCCGTAGCCGCCAGCCCCATCCACCGCGCAAACCCATCTGAGACAGGAAAGAAAAGAAGAAAAGCACCACGATGCCTAAAAATAGCGAGCGAGCAAATCCCCACCACTCCTAACAATCACACTGAAATTGCACACACACACACACACGCTCGCGCGCGCACACGCACGCACGCACACACTCGGTAAGCGGTGCAGCGATGCAGGGCGCGGCCGGCAGATCCCGCTCGGGTCTGGCTCCAGCGGCCGCCTCGGGGAAGCTCGAGGCTGCGGTGGGGTCGGAGGCACTTACGAGACATCTATGGGGGAAGGTCGGACTGACTGCCTTGCAAACCCAGCGCGTGGCTCCGCCGGCCGGCACCTCCAAACTCACGAGGGCACGCGCGCCCGAGTCCCCCCAGAGGGCGGCGCAGGGAGGGGGCGCGGGCGCGGGCGCGGGCTGGCGCGGGCGGGAGCGGGCTGGAGGGCGGCGAGGGTCCGACCGCACGCGCCGTGCGGGCCGCCGGGCTCCGGCGATGGCATCCGCGAACTTAAACAAAGGGGCCGGCGCGCCGCGCTGCAGAAAGTTGCGGTGGCCTAGGTCCAAGGAGCGTGGCCACGACCCCCACCCCCGGCCGCCCCCGCCGGGACAGAGCCGGGGGCCAGCGGGGGAAGGGAAGAGGAAACTTTGAACCCTCTGGGAACACCTCTGCTCATAGGTACCCACGCGCTCGGGGCGCCGTGCCGCGAACCCTGCGGCTCTCCGGGGTGGGGGCAGGGGGCCGGGCGCACGCACGCAGGGCTGGGTGGGGTGGCTCAGCCGCGGTTTCCCGTGATTTTCTCCTCTCCGGTTTCCTTCTGACCCCCTCCCCTCCGTTCCTCCCTCCCTTTCTCTCCCCTTTCTCCCCCCACCACTCAGACCGATCTCGATCTCCAGCGCACCGACCTGCCAAGGGACGTGAGCCCTTGGGCCGGACACTAAGAGTTAAGATGTGGCGGCGGGGGAGGGGCGGGGAGGAGAAAGTGGCGGGGGGCGGGGGACGGGGGGCTGGGCCCGGGGACGACAGATTTCAGGCTTATACGACGCGCTGCCTAAATTAAAAAGCAACCAATCGGAACGGCCGGAAAGGGGGCCGCGCGTCCGGAGCCAGTCATTCCGGGGCTGCCAATCACGCAGCGGGTAGCCAATCGGCAGGGGCCCTGGCGTTCGACTTCCTTGTATTTGGGAAAGTGTGGTGGTGGGTGCGCGCTCGCGGCGGAGGGTAAACATTCGACAGTCCCCGCTCGGAGAGGGAGGGACAGAGAGCGAACTGTCAGATCGCGGCGAGCGAGCGCGGGCGCCCTAGAGCCGAGCAAGGGAGGGCGAGGGAAAGTGCGCAAGGGCGAGCGAGGAGAGAGCGCGAACCAGGGCGCAGAGCAGCTCCGCCGCACCTCCGCCGCCCGGCCCGCGCCCCCGTCGGGGCTCCCCGAGAGCGAGCGAGCGCGCAGCGTCCCCGGAGGGGTTGGGTGCAGGAGCCCCTCTATGCACATACACACCTCCATCGCCGCCAATGCACGCTTCTTCCTCCTCCTCCTCCTCCTCCTGCAGACCATTGCTGGGAAAAAAATAAAACACCAACCCCAAGCTCCAGCGACAAGGTAACAGAGCAGTTCGCCATCATTTTTTTTCTCCTGTGCATTTTTTTCCTTGTTATATGTTTCCTAATTTCTGTCCAAAAGGAAAGATGTCGCATCAGACTGTGACTGTTGCGAGGAGAATGAGAAAGGACTCTTGTGTCCGAGGCAGCCCAGAGCTCCGGCAATAGCAACTTCAGCGCAATGCACCCTCGGAGGAAGTTTTCCTAGGACAGAACCAAACTTGGAAGGCGTGGACCCTTGGGGGGCAGCAGGCACCGGGCTCCCCTCTTCGTGCCCAACAGCACCCAGCACCGCCAAGCCTTCTGGGACCCAAAAAGTTTTGCCACGCCAAGGGGAAGCCTGAGAAATGCGTTTCTGAGCGGGAGCCGGAGGAGGCTGCGGGCTCGGGCCGGCGGTTGGCCACGCGTGACTTGGAGAAGGAGGGAAGGCGCCACTTCTTTGTTGTCGCCCGCGGAGCCATCACCTAGCAGGTGGACCGAGCACCGCGCTCTAGAGACCCGGGGAGCAGCAGCGGCGCCTCCTGGCCCGGCCCGGGCTGGCCCAGCGACCCCGGGCTAGGCAGCGCGCAGGGCCGGGGGGCGGCCGCGACCCCCCGTGGCAGGGCTGGCCACGGAGCGCGCCTCGGGCAGCGCGCACCCCTCCCCGCACAGCGGCGGCCCCGGCCGTCGCCTCGG